TCTCTCCTGTTCTAGGTGCAGTTTCCCCTGTAACGTTCTTTCTGCCACCTGAGGATGCTTTGGGTGGGGGGGGGGGGTATGAGGCTCTGTGCCACGCTGAGGTGTTCAGTGGAAAACAGAACTCATGGGAGACATAATGAGACAGCCATGCTGTGAGTGAGCCAGGGCCCTTTCCAAGAGTTTTGCATGAGTAACTCCCAGAAGCAGCTGTTGGTGTGCCTGGTACATGGCTGTTGTTTCAGGTGTTGGGATGCAAATGTGCCGTCATTTGAGTACGCTTCCAGTACCTTTACATCCTCTAGTGAGTGGCAGGCAGGTATGACAGGTCAGGCTTTCTGGGGAGGCCCTTGTTGGGAAATACCAGCCTCCTACCCTGTCTCTTCCCCACTTAGATTCCTCAGACAGCTTGCCCTGGAGGAGGTAGGTACTTAGACCCAGTCCTGTGCTCTGACTTCAAATCCTTAGCCAGCAGCTTGCCACACAGTTGCTTTGGGCTTCATTTCCTCCTGTGGGTGGGGCAGTTGTGGGAGTGCTGATGCTCTTTCCATCTCTTAGTGAGATGCCCAGGCTGCTCTCTCTGACAGCGGCTGCTTTCTCTGACAGTGCCATAGGACTTTTTTCTTAATGAATCAGCAGTGAGTGCTGCCCTCTTTTCCTGCTCCACTGCATCACAGTGAATGGCACACCAGCCTTTCGGGTCAAGGCAGCTACCCTAGCTGGGAGAAGAGCCTTGCCAAGATGCAGTCAAAGTACCCCAGCAGAGGACTGAAGGCACCCAGATGAATCCCTCCGTGGCAAAGTTAGTGAGCAGACGGGCAGCTCCAGGGATGGGTGTGGACCCGGCTGTACGAAGCTTTTGCCAGGCTGTACCAGTCCGCTGTGATGCTATGACTGTTCCCAGAGCATCACACACTGTGAGATGTCGGATTGTGAGATGTTGGATTGTGTGCAGTTGCATTCCTGGGACAGGACAGAATGTGGACACATAGTAGGATGACAGAGTTCTGGGCACTGGTGTAGAAATGGAGGCTAGAAGAGGTTAACTCCGTTGTCACAACTGTAAGTCTGTTACACATTTTATTCTTCAAGAGTAGATGAGGAAAATCTCCTTAAAATTTTTCCATTTATGTTTTGTATAATTCTACAAAGAATCAAGTTTCTCCTTGAGTTACACTGATAGCTAAATGTGATGTTTTAATATAGAGTGAATGCATTTGCTGTGGACCACTGAAGGATAAGTGTCCCCCAGCATTTTCTACCTGCCCAGCTGATGTTTACCCTACCACTGGGAAGCACTGGGAGTCCTGATAAAGGGGAGAGTTTCTGGAACACTCCAGGTGAGAGGGGAAGGAGGTAATTATTTTCTGGTCACACAGTGCAGCAGCATCGCTGGGGGTTTGATGGCTGATTAGTCCCAACGGGGTGATTCTTCAGGTCTCCACCTCCCTTTGATGATCAAGAGGCCTCCAGCTGCCTGGAAGTGCGTACTCCAGTTGCAGGAGAACTCTCCTTGCTGGCCAACAGAAGCAAAGCCAAAACAGTAGAAACCTCAGCACTTTGGTGTTACGCCCCTCCCCGGGGCCTATGGAGTAGTTCTACAAATCGCCGTGTCTCTCAGGTGCCGAAAATCTCCTTCAAAGGAAAAGTTACTAACATCAGTAACCAGAAGCTTTGAAGATGGGTGTAAAATTAATTGTGGCCCACTGTGGCATTTTCCCAGCTCTTGCTGTCAGGATGCAGGTGTCACGCAGAGGTGTGATGGTAGGTGAACTTGAGCACTCTATTCCATGCTGGTGTTTTCTTTGGCAGGGTTCTGAGTGGCCGTGGAACTGCATAGCCAGCTGACCCTGTTGCCTGAGCCAGCTGCTAGAGAAGAGCACCTCTCTCATACAGATGGAGTAAATATCACACTGAAATGTCAACTAGGCTGAGCATGCAGGGACACATAGGAGAGCTGGCATGCCTAGCAAGATGGTTGTTAGGAGGAGATAGGACAGGAGGGGTGGTGTTGAGAGAGGAGAGGAAGGGAAATGTGGGCTAGCCACAAGGTATTTGTCAGGGTAGAGGATTTGGTCCCATGTTTCTACGTTTCTTACTTTTAGTTCACTGTGATGGCACAGCGGGAATTGGCATAGGGAGTATATTTTGAGGAGCACATTGATCATTGTCCTTAACATCCTGCAGAGTTGTCTTTGAGGGAAGAGAATATGTTTGG